GACAAATCAACAAACAAGTCTTGCAAGAGACTGTGGACTGTGAACCTATTGAAATCACGTTGAGACATGTTGAGACTAAATCCGACTAAACCTGGCAAGCCAAGATACCGAAATCAAAGATCTGTTGCATCACAAAGGTACCGTAATTGTGGCGTACAAGAGCTGTGGCATCCTCCAACAAAAGCTTCACAAGTCCTTCCATCTGTTGGGCTTGGCAGTGTTCCAAGAGTCGTTGTAGGATGCGACAGCCGTACTGATGTCGTGCCAAGATCGGTACATCTGCAGGAGTCTTCATGATCTCATCGATGATGAACTGACATGCTTGAGGACGCAGCACTTGAATAATCTTCTGCAGAACGTAGTTAGCACAGGCAGACCTGGCAGCTGCCAATACGTGCCCCTGAAGTTCCAAAGCCAAGGTGAAGCGCTCTCCATCGCTGCAGTTTTCCAGGGCAGCTTGGACATAGCGACAACCTTTGGATCGTTGGGACAAGTCCCAGACACGGCCAGCAACCGAGCCCTCCAAGCAAATACCTCCGGGAGACAGACGTTGACATAAGTGTGAAGTTCTTATGGCCTCCAACCTAATAGCCATGGCCTCCACCCTAGTAGCGATGGCCTCCGATGGCCTCCACCCTAGAAGCGATGGCCTCCTAATAGCTATGGCCTCCACCCTAGTAGCGATGGCCTCCACCCTGATAGAGATGGCCTCCACCCTAGTAGCGATGGCCTCCAACCTAATAGCGATGGCCTCCACCCTGATAGAGATGGCCTCCACCCTACTTGTAGCAATGGCCTCCAACCTAATAGCGATACTTGTGGCTTGAGGAACACATGCATTATTCCACTTAAACAACAATATATCGCTGAAGCAACCCTATCAGGTGCCTTGCTCTGATTCTTCTGAGTTTTGCCGCGACATGCTTGCTTCCGATTCTGAGCTTGAAGTAGAGCATGGTGTTGCACAAGGGGAAGCGGGCACATTGACCACCACAGCTGCTACTGGCACCATCAAAGCACCTTGGAAACCCACCAGCTGCGCATTCACAGGCACTGCTAGCGTAGACATGGGCATCATAGCCATGGGCATGGATGGCATGGGTGGCAGAAGACTCATGATGAGTGATCGGATAGGAATGGCCGATTGAGTTGGAAATGGCCTCAAATCCTGAACTTGTCAAAGCTCGTCAAGCGTCACCAGTTGCAAGTGTCTTACCATCAGCGTTTCTTTCACCTACAACCGGAAGGCATTTGGAATAGTCATGGAGGCCTCAGCTTCCTCGCTAAACCTGGCTGAGAAGTCAACTATGTCCAAGACTCTTACCAAAGCTAAGCTGCCCAAGGGTACTGGGACAAAAGGCCCCCCGACATTGATTGACAGCCACCCTCACCGACATCCGCACTCCCCGACACTGTCAAACAAATGAATGCCAACTTGGACGACCTCTGTGCCATGCAAACGGTTGAAGGTCGTAGGTTCCATTCGACTCGCAAATCCGGTCCACCATCGGGGCTCCTCTGCCTTCCGTCTTGCATCGACCAGAGCGCTTTCAGGTCGACCGCAAGTCGATCTGACCGGTAGAACTGGATGTTGCTCCAGACGTGATCAAGAAATGGTCTCTTGGTCTGTAGGTCTGTGACCACATTGTCATAGAGCTAAGGAGGAGCATCTAGAAACGTCTTGATGTTGTTCATCTTTTTGAGTGCTCAACCAAGCTTCCTACACTCATCCATGATGTGTGCAATATCGCATAACGACGAGATCAATGTGACTTCAGAGCCAAAGCTTTTGGGTAAACGCGGGCACCGAGGCGCGAGTCCAAGGAACTCGGAATCCCGCAATGAATCTGGGCAGGTTAACCTACAGTAGTAGTAATGCCAGGAGCCCCTAGTAGCGTCCTTGCTCCTAGTA